AAACAAATAAACAAAAAGACAAAAAGGTACATTGTACATGTATAAAAATCGAGTCCCCTGCCAGCACAAAGGCAGCAAGCAGGCATCTGGCCCCGACAACCGAACGACGCTAAAGGAAAATTCAATTTTCCCCCAGACCATCTGCACATCAAACCACAGAGAGGCACTTATGAGACTCTGCAGCTCCTATTCATGCAAGACCCCCCCCACCCCCTCAACAGGGGTCCCAAAACCAGTCTTCCCTAACCTTTCACCCTGGGAAGGGTGGGGGGGGGGTTGCCATTATTAGCCCAGGCTATTGATAACAAATTAGTTCCCCGAACACAGCTGGACAGAGGTTCCTCTTTTAGGAACATTCGGAAATTTCAGCGCTAATTACTTCCCTGAGGTTTACCGTGGTAGCACCTTAAAAACCTCTCCGGTATGTCTGAGAACACAGCGTCTGTAATAATAATAAGAGGCAGGAGTGTCTCAGGGATCACAAATCCCCGGACGATCCTAATGCCTCCTCTGTCCTCTGCGGAGTGCATGCTCTGCGTAGGCTGCTAAATGGACAGGCGGGGGAGGGGGAGAGGGGGGGAGGGGGAGGTGGTCACACTAAGATGCTGCGGCACACGGATTTAAGTGTTTCTGCATCTGGTGCCGCAACATTTGTAGTGACATCGCATTTAATCCTGCGGAAGCTTGAAGTCTCCCCCCCCTTTCCCCAGAGGCTCCTGTCTAACACCCAATCCCAACCCACCCCCCCTCGGGTATCACGCTCCGGCCACCGTACGCGGACCCAGAGTCGTCCCGGTAAATCGGACCGGAGCCTGGCCGACTCCTTCCGCACCTGCCTTGCAGGAGTTAAACCGCGCTCTGGGGAGGCCCACGGCGGTAGATCCCGTCACGTGCTTCTCGTCGCGGTCGACCCGCCGCCGTCTACAGTGGAGCCGCGCCCGCGTGACACGGAGACGCCGTCCGCCACCGCACCGTCAGCAAGAGGCTCGCGTCCCTGCAATGAGCATGACGAAAAGAAATGCAAGACGGGGAGAGCTTTTTTTTTTTTTTTTTTTTTAACCGAACAGCTTCAGAGGGTTACATTGCACTGGGCCGGGCATTCTGTCGTGTTCGGAGGCGGGGGGGCAGCTCCTCTGCCGTTCTAATGGGATCTCCTGAAGGCACGCGTAATCGCACATGACCTCACGTGGCCGGCCTTGTTGTTAAACAATAGGAACAGATGCAACATGGCCCGGAACTTGCCGAGAAGGCGTGGTCTAACCCCGCCGCGGTCCAGACCGTCTTGGCTGAAGACCCAGTCCTGTTGCGGATCTGAGACTGAGCACTCCTTTTTCCACCCCCCACCCCCCACTGCAGAGATACAGTCATAAGGAAGGGGCGTCTATGACCAGCAAAATGCCTTCTCTTCTTTTGTGACCCCCCCCAGCCCCACCCCAAAAAGTCCAGAGCAAGCAGGCAACCCTCTGTCCACCACTCCCTGCCCAAACCCCGCCCCTCCCCACGCACCCCCCCCCCACCACTCCAAATTCAATGCGGTCTTCTAGCTCCCCTCCATAAAAAAAATCATGATTGACTCTCTCTCCACACTCCACCAAGGGGGGGGAAAAAAAAGCATATTCAAAATGACTCCTGTCCCCAAAAACACATCCTTCTACTTGCTTCCTGTATCCAAAAATATCTGGTCACAGGAAAGCAACACTTATCAAACTGTCTCCGACAAGTTTCATACAGTGACAAAAGTCAAATAACAAATAACAACATTACTTCACAATATGCAAAGTGTAAATATTTTGTTGTCTAGCGATTTTCTATTTGAATACCCTCCCCAATACAGGTCCATGGAGTGATAGAGCCAATCAATGAGAAGTATTCCAGGGACATATACGACTCTCCCTATCATCCTTGCAAGAGAAAGAGATACAGTATTTAACAGCACATCATATTACAAAGCCACAGCAATCCGTTAGTGATTCAACCCTGGTCACAGAATCCACTCTGAAGGCACGCTGTTAACCATAGGAGGACATAAATATTTTAGGAAGAAGAAACAGGAAAACGACACTGACGTTTAAGAAGCAGCCCCGCTGAAGAAAGGAGTGTCGGGGGTGTGGTTGATGAGCGAGCGGGTCGATACAGCGCATCCGTCATTAAGGTGGCGCTTAAAACATGGCGACGGGAAAACGTTCCCGCTGACTGCTGGACTGAGGCATGCTTGCATGGCAGAAAGCATTAAAAAAATGAGTCTGGCAGGGCCAAAACGCACAGCGGTCGCATGCATTACACGCCGTCGCAGGGAAGCGCTAATTGCGTTTCGGTTTCTGCTAAGCGGCGTTAGCATCCATAATGAAAAGCTCACAGCCCTACGCCTCCGACTATTGTTGCCACACGTTAAACCTGAGTCTCTAAACAAAGATTCGAAACCTATTCTTTCCGAAGCTTTTGAAACTGTTCAGCAATTACTGTAGATCATCCACGTTAGAACAGAGCTGAAACAGAGAAGGGCAAAAATGGCCGCATCTGTACCATTCGCGAGCCTTTACGAGAGGAGGTAAAAATCCAGAAATTCCAGGCTAACACTGATTTATCACCAGCATTTTTGTGTTAGGTATCCTTTGAAGACCCTCGCTATGTACTAATGAACCCCAGATACACTTTCCCAGCTATGCAACCAGGAACCAGGGACCAAAAAAAAAATCAATTTAATCACAGATAAGAAAACTAGTTGTGACGTTAGTTTATTGTCCAGTACCAGTGCCATGGTCCATAGCTGTAGATGCCTGATAAAGAGCTGCTGCTGGAGATCTCAGAGGTATTCATTTTTAAAAATGCTTTTGTCACACACACCACTCTCTTTCCTTAGTCCTTCTGCTTCCTGTTTGTTTTTATTTGGGAGTTCAGCTAACATTTTTCACATCCTTTTTCATCCCGTCCCACGTTGTGTCAATCCCAAACAAAAGACTGAGGCCTGCTTAGATTTTCCCATCAGGTAGGCGTTTCACAGAGACCGATGCTGAAACTGAAAACAACAAAAAAAGTCTCTACCAACGGTTACCCGCAGACACAGAGAGCTGCAAAAACTAGAATTTTCCACAGAAATCAGAAGTTGATTTTGTATCACATTTTCACTTCCTGTATTAATTGTTAGTGTACTACCGTAAAATAGAAATGGAAATTTAAAAAATGAAATAAAAAAAAAAAAAAACACACAAGATCAGTACATCTCCAGATTGCGAATTCAATAATCCTGAACCTGGCATGGATTAACTTGTGTTTGTTTGGAAATTTGTGGATTATGGCAAAAAAACAATGCCCTGAAACCTTCGCAGGCATATCACATGTGTAGCGCTAAACGTACGCCTTCCCCAAACCATCACGACAGGCAGGGATATGTATGAAAACTGTGCTGTAAACATGTGTTTTACATACTAGCTAATGAGCACCAGTTGTGCCATGTGGTAATAATTGGGGCTAAAAGAAAATCCTAAATCTGAGAGGACTGGAACCAATGTTTAAAGCTTCCTTCCGGAATCGTCCGGGTGGGGGCACCGGGCCTTAAGGACCGCCAGGCATTCGCAAGCGGCGTTCAAACAGCTCCGTTTCTGGCTTAAATCAAAAGGAGGAGGAAAAACAAAATCCACCAATTACCCGAATGTCATGAATAATTAGTTATTTCCAAGAATCCTCAGACTTCAAAATTAAAGAGGAGGCCCACAGACCTCTACCCTGGCACATCCTTTTGCAGGTGGTCAACCCAGTACCATTCTAAGGCACTGACTATGCTATATAATTGGCCGACAGCCTGTTGCTAAAGTGCCCTGGGGACTCATCCCTTTAAGGTCAGATGCCTGCGGTGCATGAGGCGCTGCTCGTCCAATAGGGCAATGGAACCGGAGCTTGTGGGCGGAGCCACGCACTTGTCGCTACCGGATGAGTTCACACCTTTACTGAGCATGAGGGCATTTCATTGAGCCAAGTGTGACACTCAGTTTGAAATCATTGGCCACACTGAACGAGCGACAAGCATACATATGTAAGCGTGTAATGTTATGTCATATGTCACACGTGTGCAGCTTTGGCTGAGCTCAGGCTCCGGGAACAGACACCTGAAGAACAGATCTGTCTGGCTAGAAACTGAAGTTTTATTTATATATTATTTTATGGACTGCATCTATCGTACTACAACTGGAATATATTGATATATTCCGTCAACTCATTTCAGATTATTTTGATTTAAATCAGCTGATCAACTTACTGGGACATTCTGTTATTTGGTTGTGAGTCACGCTGAGTGATTATCAGAAATCTCTAGGCTCTTGCTTATTGAGGGGCACTAATTGGTAAGATATTGATTTAAAACATTTCTTTCGAATCGTCGGTAATTTTCCTGACAGTAAAGGACTCGGCCGAATCCCACACGGAGCGAGTAAACCAGGATGTGTGTTACTGGGAGGCTGTCCACCCCCAAATACTCCCATCCTCGATTCCGCCGGGACACACAAGGAAGGAAGAAAACATATCAAGATCTAAAACCTGCATTTATTTACTTATTGACACTAATGTTTTCAAGGGGCCGGGGACCATAATCTTTTTGTTTCCTTAACAGAGGACACAAGGGTGAAGGACTTAGCTTGAGGGCATCCAATGTGAAATCGCAGATGAGAACTGCGACGCATATTAAACCACATGCATGGCTGCAAACTTCAGCCTTCTTAAAAACAACGAAAAAAGCGAAAAACTAATCATCTTATTTGAACATTTTGTTTGAGTTCTAATTTGCACAAGGACAAATTAAATAGTCTCAGGCAGTACTAATAGATGCAGAGCTTTTTTTCTTTTTTTAAAAAAAAAAAAAACAACATTTAAATTAAAATGAAGAAATACTCCAGCATCTTGTTTTCAGCGCTTGAGAAGAAGAGGTCAGTACAGCAGCACTGGCGGCTGCAGACACCGAACGACGACAGCAGGCGATTAACATGCAGGGGGTAGGACTCGAGGCTTACCGCTGCGGAGTGTCTTCAGCCCAGTGACATCACTTCCCTGCAAACTGAAAGAGAGAAACAGGCAGCGGTCAGGTGAAGGGCTCAGCGCCGATGGTTTTTTCATCCAGTGTCCCAGAAGCGCCACAGAAGCCTCTCTGGAAACCACAGCCCCCAGCGCGGGGGCCGTAAAGGGAAGGCAGGCGGGTCGTTCCGCAGCTCGGGGCAGGTTAAGAGCGGTCACATCCAGTGATACGACCTGGCCTGCTTGTCGTCTGCACTCTCCGTGATTTCGCTTTTAAACCTGCCAGAACTTGAGCAGCAAAACCGGAAGTAATACATAATGCATTTTTAGTCTTGGTGTGGTTTCCAGTTTCCATGTTACTGTCCACAGTTTTAGTCAAGTACCATTTTTTCTTTCCACCGCGCGACTTGACACAGCACTACATAACCCTTCCCGACTGCCATGGAAGAGGTCAGGAGAAACAGGACCAGCTCCGTGAGCAGGTACCTCTGGCGGGCCATTGGGTTTCCCTTACAGCCGTTAAATGTTTCCGTTCCGGGGTTCGAGTCCCCAAGGCCACGGGTGGTTACCGCGAGTGTCGGCCGCCAAACTTTAGCGTGGTGATTTACTGCCTGCTGTGCCCTGCTTACGACCTCCTGGGAGTCAAGTGGTCTCATTCTGGGACGACCACAGCGTCACAGTGCGCATTTGCATAACCAGACATTTATTGTGAAAACATCATCATCAACCGGATCATTATTATTCACAATATTTACATTCATCTAGAGTTTGATCCGAGTGTCGTGGTACTATGACGGCAAACAGCAGCTGCAGTAAAGACTAAAATCAGTAGCAGGAAGAGATTCCAAGAAAAATGTGTCACGGTGTTTAAAGACTAAAATCGACACAAATTTTCCAATCCACATTACAATGACTAGCCTGACAGTATAAACAAATAAAACCTGATCATCAGGGGTAAATGCAAGGGTGGGGCCACAGGTGCACCGGCCCGAGCTGAAAGCTGATTGGCCCCAAGAGTGCCCTTTCCCCTGTCACTCAATGATTCGAAACATGTCATTGGCTAATAAGGTTATGGCCCCTCTCATGCCCCAAAAAAAAACAAAAAAAAAAAAAAAAAAAAATTATCGAATTGATGAGGATGGTGCCACTGCTGATCGAAGTCAGC